AGATATTTATGTGAAATATCTTCCACAAATGTTTATGACAAGGGACGAGAATTGTCAACATTTTGTACTGGAATATTATCAGAATGTTTAAATGAAAATAAACCTGAAGCTATTCAAATCTACCTTTCGCTTTATCAAGTTCAACAAAGTTTGGAACAAATCAGCGAATCAAATCTATGGAATCTTAAAATAATTCTCGAATATTATCGTGCAAGGAAAAAGATAAAAAATAATGCAAACGAAGAAGACACGGAGATCATGCTTATTAAAAGAGAGTATCTTGGAGGGTTAAGATCGAGACTGGACCAATTCTTTGAAATACTCTTAAATAATACCGAACAAGTTAACAACAACAACGATACCCCGTTTCAGACGCAACAAAATTTTGTACACCTTTTACGTACGTATTTGACAAATTATGAAAAACATGGAGGTGAAGAAAACAGTAAACAATCATTACATTATCTATCATCTTGGCTTATTTTTCACGAAATACCAGATCGATATACTATAAAAACTATCGTAGCATACTCTAAAGATTTGAAAGGAATCTTAAAAAATAATATATTAACGTCTGATGATGTAGTTTTACAGGTTCTTTCTACGTTTTGGCCATACATCTCCTTTAATACTTTAAAGATAATTCAAGATTGTTGTTTTACTTGGGATTTATAGAAAATAATTTCAATAAAAAATTTATATTAAAAATTTTACTATGTTTTTAAAAGTTTATATGATAGAATTAATACAGTAATATAAATTCGATAAATTTATCTTGTTAAAAAAAATTATTTATTATTGATCCAGTTAAGAAACAAACTATTGAAATATCATTTATTTCTACCTCCTTTATTACATTTGAATTATTATATTAATATAAAAAATTTTATTTTAAAATGTTTTTAAAATAAAAAAAAAATTTCGATCCGGTATCTAAAAAAAGGATTTATTTAGTTGTTAATTAATTGAAAAAGATTTTAAATTAATAAATAATTGGAGCGAAAGTTTTTTTCTCACCTTTAAAAATTAAGAAATCATTTATTTAGAACTTGTGTATTTAGTTACAGCTTTAGTGCCTTCAGATACGGCGTGCTTGGCTAATTCACCAGGTAAGATTAAGCGCACGGCAGTTTGAATTTCCCTGGAGGAGATAGTTGATCTTTTGTTGTAGGCCGCGAGTTTTGAAGCTTCACCCGAAATTCGTTCAAAGATGTCGTTCACAAAAGAGTTGAGGATGGACATGGCCTTGTTGGAAATACCGGTATCTGGATGCACTTGCTTGAGAACTTTGTAGATATAACTTGAATAGGTTTCTTTTCTGACCTTTCGTTTCTTTTTGGTTTTATCACCGGCGGCAACTGGTTTTTTGCTGTCTTTTTTCTCAGCAGGAGCTTTCGATGCTGGTGCTTTTCCGGCGGTTGCAGGTTTCTTTTCGGCTTTTGGTGCCATTTTGTTAGTTAATTTTTGTAAGAGAGGTTTCGTTTGGGAAAGAGTAAAAAAAAAAAAAGTTTAAGGAATATTAAGGAAATATGTGAAAAGTGTCTTTTAATTAATCAATCAATTGATAGTTGCAAAAGAACGAAGTTAGGAGAATCAAGGCCCTTTATATTAAAAAAAAAATTCTGATCCTAACGCGAAAATTCGCGTTTTTAATTTATACTTTATTTTTTTTTTTTGTTGGCGTTAAAAATCAAAACATTAAATCAACGCGATCATGACACGAGCGCAAAAAAAAAAAAAAAATAGTTTCGAGATGTTTACGTTTTTTTTTTTAAAAATAGATTTAATTTGAGGAGTCCAGAAAAATCTTTGTATTAAGTTAAGAACCGCAGACTCAGAATCACGCGATCAACGGATGACTTGACGCGTAAAAAATATCCAAAAGGTTCTACAAACAATAGGAAATGGAAATGATTTGTTACCCTTTTAGGGTGGCTTAAACGTGGCTATAAGTAGTATTGTTCTAATTTGTTTTGTTCATGAAAGACACGTCCTTTTTTGAATTAGGAGTTAAATTTTGTTTACATCATCAAAAAAAAAAAACATTCCAAAAAGCGTGGCGTCAAATCGTCTATAAATTAACCTCATTTTTGAGCACCCTTTTATACCCCTAATTTCCTGAACCTTTGCATTTTTTTCCCAAAAAAAAAAAAAAAAAAATTTCTTATATATTAATTATTATTAATAACAACATTTCATTTAAAAAAAACCAAAAAGGCCTACTACCTATTCTCACTACTACTACTTTTTACAAAAAAACTTTCTTAAACAACCTATATTTTTTTTTTTAAAAAAAAAATAAACAAGTAAACGAAGATATAAAACCCTTTTTATTAGTTGATTTAACAAACATGTCTAGTGCAGCTGGTGGTAAATCTGGTGGTAAATCTGCTGCTACAGTCTCTAAAGCTAGTTCATCCCGTTCAGCCAAAGCAGGTCTTCAATTTCCTGTTGGTCGTATTCACCGTCTACTTCGTAAAGGAAATTATGCTCAAAGAGTTGGTGCTGGCGCTCCCGTTTACCTTGCCGCTGTTCTTGAATACTTGGCTGCGGAAATTCTGGAACTCGCTGGAAATGCTGCTCGTGATAACAAAAAATCAAGAATCATTCCTCGTCATCTTCAGTTGGCCATCCGTAACGATGAAGAATTGAATAAATTACTTGGTCATGTTACAATCGCTCAGGGAGGTGTTCTGCCGAATATTCATCAAAATCTTTTACCCAAGAAATCAAAGAAAGGAGCCGCCGCAGCCGAAGTTTAAATGGGCTTTTAATGGTGGGAACCTAGTAAAAAAAAAAAAATAAAGGAAATAATATTATCTTGGGAATATGAAAGAACACTTTTAATAATTCAGAAATATTTCCTTTTGACACCAAATTTTTTTTTTCTTTACTTTCTTTACATTGCTTTAAAAGTTTGTTTACATACATATATACTATTCTTTTTTTTTTTTTTTCTTACAACTAATATTCCTAATCTACATTATCTGAGGAGATGGTAAAAAAGAAAATAGTATAACAAAATGGGAATAATAATAAAACTTCAATCTACGATATCTTTGCCGTCTTTGAATCATGTATATATATTAAAAATTATGTATAGATAGGAAAATATAATTTTTTTTTTTTCCTTTTCTTCTCCAATATTTTCACGCAGTATTACATTTTTTTTTCTTTTAATAAAAATAATAAAAAGAATTTTAATACCGAATGTTTATACACTAAAGTGAATGATATTCAAATAATCCAAAGTATCAATAATTATAAGATTAAAAGTGTAATATAATAATATCTAAGTTTTTTATTTTTTACTTTTGGAAGAGAACAACATTTATAGGATAGTACATTTTGATATGTACGCAAATTAATATTTACATTATTTAATTATCCTAATCAATATCAGATCACATCTCCGTAGATTTAACTTAAAATTTTTTATCCCTCTCATTTTCCTAAAATAAAGTATCTTGTTCACGTAAATACTCTCCAATATCAGCTTGATGAAAGGCAACAATATCCGTCGGTTGCAATTTACGAGTTTCAACAGTTGATCTCGCCGTGACCCCAAATCCCTATTCAATCGCATTTATCGCATGTATTTAGTATAAGATTAAATTTTTTTTTTTCCACGATAAATCTTAAATCCTTACCAATGGAATATCAGACATTGAATAGATCACAACTCCTTGATGTTCAGGTGTATCATCCGTTATACGTCCTAAATGTGCTTTAAGTACATTATTTCCATATAAAAATGTATTTTCTCCATTGGGTTTTATCCATACTTTGTACTAAACCAAAAGTAAGATTGAGACAAATTGAAATTCAAAAAAAAAAAAAAAAAAAAAGATATGTAAAAGATTCTACCTTTGCATATTGTGCAAGATAATCTAGCGCTGTAATGTGTAATCTGAATTTCTTTGATTTCGTAAATTTACCAAAACATACTCCCAAAGCAATTAATTGATCACGTCCTACACTAATTGCTTGTTTCATTAACTCTTCACTAAAAAATAAATAAGGTTTGTCTTATTTATAAACTCTCTAACGTTTATTTCATGATTCCTTTCATAACCCACCTCATATAATAAACTTTATCATTATGTAATCTAAAATAGTAAGTTTCATCCGATCGATCAATTAAATGTACTATATTCCTTCCAATACTTTAATAGAATAGAGTGTATAAATATTTTTAAAGTTGAATTTTTATTCATTTTAAAAGAATTACAAACCAAACCGATAAAATAAAGCTTTTATTAGAAAGTTACTCACTATTTCGCTAACTTCTCAAAAAATACTTTGGTTTCGTCTTCCGTCAATTGCCTCATTTTATCCAATTTTTTTTATTGAGAAATTCTTTTTTTTTAAAAAAACCTGTTATTTATGGAATTTTTTGATCGGTCACGTGCATGATAACAATCAGATTTTTTTTAGGTGCCATGCGACCTACTGATCACACAAATAAAGACTTGACTTTCTAATTTGGTATCATAATATATATTGTTAATCGAATCCTATTCGTAATATTTTAAATTGCACATTTACGAGAAATTATTTACCTGATTTTAATATATTTATTGAAATATTTGACATTTATAATTAAAAAATAAGATTTTATAAAAGGTACATATATATATATATATATTTTTTGGTTTTTTCCCCCCTTGATAGTAAAAATACAAAAGATTGACAAGGCACTTGAAAAAAAAAACAAAAAAAAACCTAAATATAAAATAAAATATCAAAGATTACAAAAGGAATGTAACATTTGTTTTCAAACATCTTGCTCTAATATATATATATATAATATTAAAAAGAAAAAGAAAGGATTAGTAAGTATGTGAAGAAGAAAAAAAAAAAATAATTGCAATTTACAATATAGTAATATTCGGTATAATGTGTGTTAATGATATAATATATAAATTATGTGAAGATAAATAGTTAAAATAACCAAAATAACCAGAGGAAGAATGAGTCAATGATTCTAAAATGGATGATTAACAACAATTGTTGCCGCTATCTGCATTAAGTGGTAACGTCTTCGGTTGTAAATGCCCTCCAACCTTGATACCATTTGACTGGCAAAAAAAAAGTTTTTTTTTTATCAAGTTAATCCATATAAATAATTTAATTAAACGATGAACCAACCTCATTTGATACGTCAAAAACGCCTTGTTTAATTTTTTCGTAAATATCTTTGGCAGTATCTACAAATGACTTTATATTAATAAATTAATAAATAACAATTAATTAATAATTAACGTTGAAGGCAAGACAAAAAAAAACAAAAAGAAAATACATTATAAATATTTAAAATTTACTTCTTCAACATTATCCGCTGTCTTTGCCGAGGTCTCCATAAAAAATAATCCATGTTGTTGGGCAAACGCTTCACCTTCCGCATAAGAGACAGCGCGTTTAGATTCAAGATCGCTCTTGTTGCCAATCAACATTATTGTAGTATTGGAATTCGCGTGTTGACGAGCATCTTCCAGCCAGATGAGAAGGTGTTCAAAAGTTTCACGTCTAAGTAAATAAAGTAAATTAAATAATGTTTGATAAAAAACTTATTTTTCGACTAATTAAGTTATCCAATTTACCTAGTTATATCATAAACTAAAAGTAATAAAATTAATAACAGTTTCAAGTAACTTTTAAAAAAAGATAATTGCGATATATAATATTAACCTAACAAAGCCCCAGCAGCACCACGATAATAACTCCTCGTTATGCTCCTAAAAGATTCTTGTCCAGCCTAAACATATATATAACGAAAGAATAAGTTGCTATTAAATATATACTATACTGTAGATTTAACGTACCGTATCCCAAATTTGAAGTTTAATCTTTTTCCCTTCAACCTAATAAACAATAATGAAATCATAAATTATTATGAATAACTATTAAATTTGGTCATTATACACATTATACGGGTCAGTGAATTAAAGTAACCTATTATCTTACATCCACAAACCGTGCTCCAAACTCCACACTATAATATGAAAGATAATTAAAATATAGACCTCATTTTTCATGTTGGTTGTGATGATACACGAAAAAATACCAATAGATTACTCACCCAATCGTCAAATCATGAGCTGGCTGAAATCGTCTGTCAGTAAATTGTAAAAGTAAACATGACTACAGAAACAAAGATCAAAATGTATCAGGTCTCAAGTATTACGAGATGTAATTCGGATGTGAAAATTTTTCTTGGATGAATCAAAACGGAAAAAGATCGTGACGATAGATAATTTTTTTTAAACAATACCTTTCCGACACCTACAAAAGTTTCAAATTTATATATGAATCAAATGGCATAAAGAAAAGAAGAACGGAAACTATATAATATATAAATACAATACGATACCCGTGTCCCCGATAATAATGTACTGAGTTATAAAATTTAGAATTCAAAGTTTAAGAACAATATATATGTCAAAGTAATCGATAGCAGGAAACCAGAAAAACTGAACTGAATTTTAACGACGTTGAAAGAAATCGCAATTCAAACCTTTATAATGTAATCGTAGTTAAAGTTTGACGACATTCTGTATGAATATAAGGTCTTAAAGAAGGTGTTCAAAGTATTAATTGCCGTAAACCTTTCACTACTAAATATACGGCGTTCGAAAATTAGTGTTTGACAAGGAGGTTGGGAAGTAAAATTTAGGAAGAGCTGTGATTCTCTTATATTCTCATTCAAATCGAACCGTAAATATTACTAATTTCTGCAATTAATTGGGTTGAATATATATGTAATTATAAAAAAGGGCTTTTATGTCAACATCGTGGCTTTTGAATTTCGGGAAACGGAGCCATCATCCGAGACTTTCCGAGTACTTAATCGACATGCCAAAAACTGACACTATGTGTGACCATTAAAAAACTAGATAAAACTATACTTCACTATATAATTTTTTCACAAATTCGATAATAATGTCACAGTGGTTAACAGGTGAGTAGAGTCATCTTCGCTAAAATTACTCGGGCTTGTTTTACAAGTCTAAACACTTCTTCAAGAGCGAAATTCTAGTATAAACCTTGTAAATATCCAATAATTTTCTCCAAAAAACGGATTTTTCTGATAGTTACAAAACCTTTAATGTATCAATAATATACTTTCTCAAAAGAATTAATAAATTTAGACACCTTTTTATAAAAGTTTTTTTCTAATTCCATGCCTCACTTAATTCAACATCAAAAAAAATTTCCTTAAAATGAATTCTGTTTTTGTGAGTAGGTAGTTTCCAGCAACAGCCACCTTATTCTTCTTTTCCAGTACCACCAAATCAATATATACCACCACCACCACCACCTTATCGACCACCTCAAACTCAGGCTCCACCTATTGATGATTTATCTTTGGCTTTCGATAATCTTGCAATGGCATTAAGAGCCACTGCAGGACCACCAGAGATAGATAATTTTCAAATATCACTTGGAATGTTGATGCATGATTGTTCACAGTCCAATATACAGGTATCCATATTTATTATTTTTTTTTTTTTAAATATATATATATATATATATATATTAGAATTAGTAACTATTTTTTTTTTATTTATTAATATTCTTACACAATGATTTAGCGTGGTAAAACATGGATATTTGATCATTGTACAACTCCAGCTCATTTCGACACCTTAATATGCTTTATTATTGCGCTATCAAAATCTCGACCGATATTTGAAGATAGACTTCACTTAATATACCTTATAAATGATGTACTTTTTCATAGGTAAGTGCTATAAAATATTCAATATTATGAATGATTTAATTGAAACATAATTAATAAAGGCAATTAAAATAGTGAACGTAGACAGGAACCTTGGATTAAAGAAGCATTGCATCCACATTTACTCGCGCTATTGCGAGTCGCTTTTCATTTTATGGATGCAAATGAGAAGCAGAAAGAGAAAGTTGTTAAAGTAATTTTTATTATTATTTTTAATTATTCGACATTTTTTTTTTTATTTTTGGTAATGATAATTAATTGTTGATTGAATTAGATTATATCTATTTGGGACGACAAGCAATACTTTGACGATAATAAAATCAATGCTTTAAGGACCGGCATTATAATTCCACCACCCCCATCTAGTGGTATTTCATCATTATCATATTCAAATCCTGGTCAACATTCAATTGGACACTTTCGTTATCAGGGTCAACAACCTTATTATAATTCAGGTGTCCCTCCTCCACCCCCACCCCCAACTGGAATATTTCCTGCTCAGCCAACTGTTCAAGCCATTTCTCCTCCAAATGCTCATTTATCTCCACCAATCGCACAAAATCTTATAAGACCTGCTTCTGAACCTGTGCCGGCCGTTATTCCAGAACAGTTTCCACCAGGTCCATCTCCTCCAAGCATGCCGATGCAAGGAATAATCAGATCTTCAATTCCTACGACCCCGGTACCATCTGTCTCGGAAAAAAAATATTATGAATTACCTGCTGGACTAATGGTTCCAGCGGTCTTGGTATGAGTATTAGATATTTTACTAGAATATTTAAAGTTTTATGCCCATTTAATTCTTTACTTATTTGCCAGCTTTTTTAGCCTGAGGATTCTCCTTACACACCCATTCATGCGGCTTCAATTAGGTTACCACCCCACCGTTTACCTCCTACCACAGAATTGTTAGAGGCTGTTGACAGATTCTATGAAGGAATGTTTATAATAGAATCTAATTTAGAAGGGGAAGATGAACGTGCATTAAAAGAAAAATATCAAATTGACCTAGATAAGGATGGTTGGGAAGTTGGATTCTTAGATGATTATTATATGGATCTGCAAGAACAACGAGAAGAAGCATTGGCGCGAGCATCGTCCGATAGGCATCATCAACAACAACAACAAGTATCTTCATTTAGAAATAGACGGGACGATCGTGGAAGTAGATGGTCAAGGGACAGAAGCTATTCCGTGTCAAGATCACGATCTAGATCATCGTCAAGATCTCATTCAAGAAGGCACAGGAGACGTCATAGTTATAGCGATTCTTCTACAAGTCGAAGTCGTAGTCGTTCAAGTCGTTCAAGAGGTCGGAGGAGACATAGACATAGAGTGGATAGCAGGAGTCTTAGTCGTAGTCGTTCGAGGTATAGAAGCCATAGTCGTTCAAGAAATAGTTGGAAGAGGATACCTAGGTCAATGTCTCCTAGGACAAAGACTCGATCAAGAACTCGTTCGAGAAGTGTTTCTAGATCACTTTCCGAGTCTCGTTCAAGAACTCGCTCACTTACTAGGTCCAGGTCAAGAACTAGAACAAGGACAAGATCGAGGACTCGATCAAAAACTAGGACTAGAACTGTATCAAGATCTTTGACTAGAGCCAGATCAATTTCATCAAGATATAGTTCGAGATCAAGAAGTCGATCAAGATCAAGATCATATGATCGAAGTTTTAGTCATGACAGACGTAAATCCAGTGATTATAGTTCAACATCTCGTAGACGTTATCGAAGTAGATCTTATAGTAGATCACGATCACGATCGCCCTTATATATAAGTAGCGGTGTAAGTTTAGTTAAAGATCAAGAAATTGCAAGAGCAGATAAAATGATATCTGACCGTAATGTCGGATTTCAAATGTTAAAGAAATTAGGTATTTTACTGATAAATTTTTTTTTTTAAAAAAAATAAGTTATTCTTTCCTCTAAATAAAATAATCTTTAAAAAAAACTAGGTTGGGAAGGAGCTGGTACAGGGTTAGGATCAACTTCAACAGGCATTGCAGAACCCATAAAGGGAGGAGAGCTTAGGTTTGGCGAACAAAAATATTTAGGGGTTGGTCATAGTCGCGGTGAAGATGGAGACATCTTTGATCAATATCGTAAATCAAAAAGTTATACTTATCAACGAAGCGAAATTTGTTCAAAAGATAAAAAACCGGCAGGTTGTTTTAGATGTGGAAAGGTGAATTTCATATATTATTTATTTATTATTTATCTTCAGTTCATTCGATAAATTTTCAAATAATCAATGAAAACTTATTTTTTTTTAGCACGGTCATCTGGCTCGCGACTGTTCTGAATAATTAATTTTTCGGAAGAAAAAAAAAAGAACTTCGTAATAAAATTTATGTTTATATACTTATAACCACATATCGTGAATTTCAAATATTTAATTATTTTCAATTATTTATTTTATTAAATGACAAAAAAAAGGCAATATATATATTTATTATGTTATAAAAAGCATTAGAAAGCATTAAAAAGCATTAGAAACAGAGATAAAATAGAATTAGAATTAATTAATTAAAAGAATTTTTATCGAAGTCCAGTAGAGCCGAATCCATTAAGACCACGTTCAGTTCCTTCCAATTCATCGACTTCAATGACATTTGGAGTACGAATCCTTTCAAGAATAAGTTGCGCGATTCGATCACCTTCTTTAACTGTAAATAATTAAATTATTATTATTAAGATCTCAAGTTTTCCTCATAAATAAACAAATAATTATAATTATGAAGATTCGAAATCATTATTACCTTGATGATCAAGTTTACTATGATTAAACAAAAGAACTCCTAATGGGCCACGATAATCAGGATCAATGACTCCAGCACCACAATCAATGAAATTTTTTAAAGCTTTTTTTGATGGGAGTGAGAATGTAACGAAATCAATAAGAAAGAATTTGGGAATACGAAATAAAGATAAAAGATGTTAGAATTTAATACCAAGTCCACTTCTTGGGGCAACACGACCATAAGTTCCCGCTGGAATACCAATTGATAAGTCTGTAGGAATCAAAGCTTTTCCTTCAGCTGGAATAACCATATCAGCCGCACTTGTTTATCGTAAACCAAAGATAAATGAATAAATAAATAAATAGTTTTAATAAGTTTAACAACGAAAATGAAATAATACGTTTATTATACCTGAATAAATCATAACCAGCAGCTTGACCGGATCCACGAAATGGAAGTTTTGCTTTAGAAGTGAGACGTTTCACGAGTAAATCTTTATTAGGTGAAGGTGAGGAACTTGAAGTTTTGCAACGCTTTACTGAAGGTATTGGTGAAACTGAAGGACTAAGTTGGTTTAAGTGTAAATCCGAAAGAATAGGTGAACCTGGAGACTTTCGTTTTCTTATGATAGGAGTGGGAGGAGAAGTAGGAGAAGTTGGGGTGGCAGGAATGGTAGGAATCGTGGTCATTTCTTCTGTACTAGGCATTTTGTTTAATAAATTCTTATATATGATACACAGTTTAAAGGTGAAGTAAGAAATTACTTGTTGGAGAAGGAAAAATTTTTTTTTTTGTTGAAGAAAGAGTTTATTGAAAGAGGAGAAAATGCTCATTTTTATCAGTATTCGATCCATCTGCTCATGAATGAAATTGAGTAATTTCGTCACCTTTGGTGAACAAGTAGTAGACGTGATAACATGTAAACAAAAAACAATTTTGTTTAGTAAATCGCGCGTTTTTTTATAAGATTTAAGGATGCGCAGGAAATTGCCTAAATTTGTTCACAATGTTTTATACATTTTTGGTGTTTGTATTAATGTCACATACACATAAAAGGAAAGATGGCATATTCACCCTGTTCCGATATAATTTTAGGTTTGACCCTCAAAAATCGGGGTAATCTTGCTCACGTCACGTAAATTACATGGGATAAACATGAACCGCTGTTTAATGCAGATCAATAAAAAAAGGAAAAAAATTTTTTTCAAACACAAAGGTATTTGTAATTTTAATTTTCTTTCCGTTCTTCTTTCGCTATGATGTTAAATTTATATTATGTATCGTAAACTATTTTATTAATCTGAATTCTCAAAGTAATTGATTTATGAAGAATCCTATCTTCTCTCTGAGTGAAAATTTCATTATTCAAAAAAAAAATCACTTTTTGATAAAGCTAATGTTTTTTTTTTGTTCCTTTTTTTGTGTTGGTTTCTTTCTTTCAATAAATAGATTATCGAGGTAATTACTATTATTATTATTATTATTATTATTGAAATGATTACATATAGGTTAAGTATGATAAGTTTTCCTCTGTACGTTCATAGTTGTCAAATTTTACATTGTCAAATAAAGACTCATCTAATGCATCTTTTACTGAATAAGCCCAGGCGATACAATAATGAGCAGCAAGAAGACGCCATTCCTCAAGTTCATCAAGAAATTCCAATTTTGATATTCTGCAAGTTATTAAAGGAAAAAAAAAATTAAAAATCAATTTTGTATAAATAAAAAATCCAATAATCAAATTATTATATTTATCACCTGAAAAGTTCTTTTGAATCAATATGTTTATCATGAATTTCATTTATATCAACAGCTTCGGCATGAGTCCATCCACGCAATAGATAACGATCTTTCTGACTTTGTAAGTCAGGATAAGCATATATACCACGAAGTTCAATATTAATAGCTCTTAAATTTTGCAACATGACAGACCCAAAAGGATCATTTGGTAAAATTTGTTCAAAGACTATAAACATTGCTAATTTCATATTATCTCCAACCCATTGTACGATTTTATTAGAATCAATTGGATCCATATAAATTAATACACATTCTGATAAGAATAATGTTGGAATACTTTTTATCATTATCATTATAGTTAGTTTCACATGTATTGGAAACGCGACTTAAAAGGATATCTTTCTTACTAACCTTTGATCAAAACCATGTTCTTTTAAACGCGGCACTAAATTATCCGCCCAACTTCTAAGATCTCCCGACATTAAACAATAATCTGGCGCGTAAATTTCCGTACCTCCTTTTCCTACAATTCCATTTTTTTAAAAAATTGATTTTTCCGATTGATCGATTGATTGATTGATTGATTGATTTACATACCAATTTGCATATTTGTCCCAATTAAATCCAATAGATCATTATTTCTACGAATTATTGCAACTTTTTTTGATGTAATTTCAGGAAAATCGATTTCAAAATATTTATGAAAGTTACGTGATGTTATCTAATAAAAAAATTTTATTTGTCTTGTTTTTTTTAAAAAAAAAAAAAATAAAAAATAATTCAAATTAAATTTTAATAATTCTTTTAATCAATAATACCTTAAAATGAAAATATCGCGTATCAGATCCAGCTCCAAGCGATACGATTTGTTTCTTTAAATTTCCTTCACCAACTTCCAAAAATTTCGTGATTAATATATCTAAACCCGCATTACGAACATATGAACCTCTATTGATTATTGGAGGTCTCTTTGATGGTCTTTTAACAAAATATTTTACGAATACATCATTAATATATCCCGTAGTTACTGCCGACCTGAAACAAATCAAATATAATTTTTAATTTTTACGTGAATATAAAATATAAATTATGTATAACCTTTAAAAGACACGAAATAAAAAAAAAAGTTTCAAAGGGAATAAAATTCACGCAATCTTTTAACCATTACTTACAATTTACTTGTCACGGCGTCGTCGTTAGTTCCGCGTATAGCATTATCCTGACTCGAAGTATCTGCTGTAGGAGGAGTACGAAAAGCCATTGATAGAAAAAAAGATTATAATAATTATACTGTATTTATCCTCGCATATGAAAAGAATGAAAGCTTCATGATTGGTCGATATTGAATTTTTAAAAATGATCAAATTTTCTTAAAAAGATAGTCCTTTTTAAATTTACCATGCTTTCTTCAAAACTTAAACCAAATATTTTGATTCTTAAATTAATTAAATTAAATAAATCGGTTTTTATTAGAAATATTTCATCGATCAAAGATACAAACCTTTCTCATGAATCTACTAAAACATTAACAGAAAAACCGAAATGGACAAATAATTCTATACGAATAGGGGCAATTGCTAGAAAGAAAGGGATGTCTGCATTATGGGATGAGTGGGGTGTAAGACATCCGGTGACAATCTTACAGGTATGAAAAATGTTTAAATAATTCATTAATTTTCATTATTCATAGATTAACGTTAATTTTTTAAAAAGCTGGAACAAGTTCAAGTGGTACAAATTAAAGAAAATCAAAAAAATATTAAACCACCTTTAGTAGCAGTCCAAGTTGGTTGTTCTGAAGGAAAGAATCGATTTAAGAAACCATTATTAGGTCATTTCGATAGTGCGGGAGTTAACCCAAAAGCAAAATTATTAGAATTTCATATTACTCCTGATGCTGTTGTACCCGTTGGAACAGAGATAAGGGCAGCTCATTTTGTACCAGGACAATACGTGGATGTAACAGCTCCATCGTAAGATATTATTATCTTAAAAAAAAAAATCTCACTTTTATTTTCTTTCATGATAATCAAAAATTTATATATTTTATTATTTTTTTTTTTTTTTCAGAATTGGTAAAGGTTTTGCGGGTGTAATGAAAAGATGGAATTTTAAAGGATTGCCAGCTTCACATGGTACTTCGTTAGCTCATCGTTCTGCTGGTTCAACTGGTCAAAATCAGGTTTGTTCAATATAAAGATTACCATTTTCTTTTATCACCTTCCCTATCATATATTAACTTATTTTTTATTATAGGATCCAGGAAGGGTTTTTAAAGGCAAAAAGATGGCTGGTAGACTTGGAGGTCAAAGTGCGACAGTTTTAAATTTGAAAGTTCTTAAGATTGATAATGTTTTGAATCTCATTTATATCAAAGGTTCTGTTCCTGGCTTTGATAATCAATTCGTAAGAATAAGAGATGCCATAAAGAAACATGGAAAAAAATGTTTTCCGTCGGATTGTATTCCACCACCTTTTCCTACTATAATTCCCGAAATTGTACAAACCATGCCAAGAGAATTAATGGCTAAAACTGGTGGGGTTGACCCCTTCATACCCAGGGAAGTTTAAGAGAGTGAATAAAATTTATATGGTTTCAAAATAAATAAATAAAATATAAATATATATTGTATATATGATGAATATGCAATTATTGCAAATAACATTTCAAATGTCTTTAATTTTTTTTCTTTTTTGTACATTTTCAAATGGCTACATTAATTTTAAATTGTATTAATAGAAAAAAAAAAGTATAATCTATTACTATTCTATTTTTAAATAATAAAATCTTATGATGGAGATGATGTATTATCTTTGGATTCTAGACCAGGGTGTGGACGATCTATAAATATAATATAAATGAATTGTTCTTATTATTACTAAAAAGAAAAGGAATGAAAAGAACTGTACCTTTGTATTGTGGCTGACGTTCATAAGCATTTGGACTGTTGCTTCGATTTTTATTGGGACGTTTATGGTGATGATGATGATTGCTATTTTCCCCACCCTCGTGTTTATGATCATGATTATGATCAGAATTGTCAGAATCACTATTACTTGATTCTTCGTCCGATGATTCATCAAACGCACGAGGTTTGTGATATATACAACAAACTTTAAATATTGCAAGCAATTTAGATTTATAATATTTATGAAAAAAACTTTAAAATTTTATAAAAAAAAAAATAATAATTACTCTTTGATTTTTTCCTTCCCAAGCCTTCGTTATCCACTACACCATCATCCCATTTAACTTTTCTATTATCAGATGGTCTACCACGAAGCTTTAAAGTTCCAATAGGTTGTGATGATGTGTCATCAGCTTCTCTTGAAGGAACTGATTCCGCATCCTCAGCAAGTTCTTCGGGATGAAGTGTTAAAGTTCTAGACCCATATGTTTCTGGACGACCTGATTAGAAAAGGTTATTAAATAAAGTTTAACAAAATACGATTCTTTTTCTAATTCAAATAATACCTGTAGGTACCACGGTACGAGTATGATAACGTAAAGAATCTCCAGCTGCCATTATTGAGATTAAAATACAAAAAAAAAAAGAAATAAAAGAATTTTTGATGGCCCGTGCCCATTTTTATTCTCCACGTTTGTATTGATCGCCATGACTTGCATGGTAACTTTCCAAAAGTTCTTTGGTTCGAGTTTGTACTACCGTGATCACCAAATTTTTTTATAAGTAATCACCCTTTTCCCATTTTAAAAAGTCATATTCTAGAATGAACCATTATTGTCAAATACATTTCCCTAAAGTAAATTTGGAAGTCTTTCGAAAGAGATATGCTTTCAGATATAACCTCATACAGTGTTTGGTCATTAGAAAACTTTATAATATCGAGATCACGAGTATTTTCTATTGTTTCGGATTACAAGTAACTTAAGTTTCTTTCTTTCAATCAAGATGCTCAAGATGAAATCGGGACCTGCAAATGTCAACGAACAAGTTTGTGATTTAACAGATGAACACATGTCATTTCGAATCAACATTAGAATGATATATCGTCAATATGTCAATTTCATGTCGCTTGCGATATTAATTCAATGTCGACATAACATCGTGAAGATATCGTCACGAAACACCTACCAGCAATTTTTATTTAGATATTTATTCAGTCGCTAATTTTTTTCATCATACTTAGGCAATTAATGATTTAGTAAGTCCTTTATTGAGATTGATCTTCGTGGCTATCGTTCTAAAATATCTTTCTTTTTCGGTGATACATAAACTAGAGTGATAGCATGATTACACCCACCATAAAAAGCAAACCTACTTCAAAGGCGAAAAATGGCTATAGGATGGTAATGACGTTTGCATTTATCAAGATTATAACAATGCCCCTTCACACCTTGGTTCCTTTGGGATTTATGGATAATGTTAATCGGGATTTCAAAGATATTCTACAAAATATAGCATCACGCTTACAGTACAATTCAACATTCTCTTAGCAGAATTACCTGAAAACATGTGATCTTTTTGAAATTCTCACATTAATACATATTTTATTTCTTGACGCATTAGTGTTGCCAAATTCTACATCTAATGTTCTCTACCACCCAACAAATGATGATCAAACCTTTTTTTGGCGATGATAGGCCAATTTGATCTACAGTGTGTTTCCAGCGTGTACCAAATTAGAAATTTGGATAGGTCCGGACACATAGGGCTATTTATTATAAAATTGTATTTAAAAAAGCAAGTCCCTCAGATCGCCTAGAAAAGGCTTCATAGATCTTTTACAACCTATTGATCACCTACCCACTACAATAACACATCCCAAACATTGCCTTATCATTCAATCCCAATACTAAGGGGAGGGACAGTTATAATGTCATTAACTGGGGGGTATTACGTTACACGAATTTTACGAATCCCATTTTGGGAAGAGGTTGTCAGATACAGATAGAGATTATCCGTTATTTCATTTCACGAATTTGCTTATTAAGTGATATGAATCTCTTTTTAAGTAGAACGTGTTATTTTTTATTCTAAAAAAAATATATTTTTTTTTAATTCTGTCAAAATGTAGCAAAAACGAAAACGCCTTTTGATATGACGAAACAGACGCGCTTCAAAGAATTAAATTATTCTAAGAATTACCTTGTCAAAAAACCCGTTAACCTTTATGAAAATTATATAAATGCTTTTGCATTTAATGAAATGGTGAAATGTAAGAACAATGCGCAAAAAAAAAAAGAACTGCAACAACGGGCGCAAAAAAGTTGGAAAGAAGTAAATTAAAAGATAAAGATATAATTCAAAACATTATTTTTGAATTATTAAAAACTTCTATACAACCTTCTTCTTTCATATTTTGTTCACAAGTTCCACCTTCAAAACCATTACCTCCAAAATCTTCAGAATCTCCGAAACCTCAAATACTTTCAGCGTCTTCAATACCTCTGTTTCCGCCTTCAGATATTCTATCAAATCCAAATAATTTTAACTTTGCAATAAATGTTACATCACAAAAACATTCATCTTCAATTTTACAAAATGCTAAATCTGAAATTTATGAATATAATAAATTATATAAAGCTTCAACATCATTGGAACTTCGCTCTCACTTTACTTCAAAAATCAGAATTCTTGAGAATACTATTTCTTTAGAGAAGAAAAAGCTCAAACATTTAAAATAATGCAACAGCATAGCAATGATTACGAGAAAGAAAAAAACAAAAATTAAATGAAGAAAATGTTGTTGAAATATATAATACTTCAGGTCAGCCATCATTTTTAATAAAAGATCTAACCCTTCTAGAGAAAATGCATAATAGTATTGAATTTGGAGCTGCTGACCGTAAGGAAGTGATTAAGGTGCGAACAATTAAGCACCTTCGTGAAAAAATGGAAAAGAATTATAACATCTATATGTCAAAATCAACGTTGCAAAATTACATGCAATCACAATACCCAGGAACAAAAGAAGCTCATCAACACCATCATCCTGCACAAATTCACCTAGCAGCTATCGGAAGAATAAAAATGAATGTTCATATTGATGAACATTATTGTTTAGTATTGATTAAAGGTATTAGATCTATTGCAACAACTTTTTTATAAGAAGTTTTAATGATCTCGTAGGATGATAAAGCTAAGGTATAATTAATATTATTATTCATTCTTTCATTATAGTTGATTATTAATTCTTTTTAGGTTTATAGGTTCTGCTTGAGATGGCAGTCGTTGGAAGAACATTTAAAGCTCTACAAACAGTAAATGAACCTGTATCAGTCCCCGATCATGACTTTCTGAAAGCTCTAAAACATAAGCTAATTCCGTCAGTCTATTTAATTATCAACCCCTCTGATACGAATGATTCGTTACGCTCTGATAAAATGTGAATATTTATTCGCCCAGAGTTTTTTTTAGATATAACTTGTGAAACTTATGTAATAGACGTAATAGACTTTATGCAAATTATAAGAGAAGCCACATTTTATGAGTTTACACATCATGAAAATTCTGTAAAGCCATTTTGGTGTATTTTAACTGATGGTAAACCAGATGAAAATCCACGATTTCTTGCCAATATATTAAAGTGCCTATTACTATTCAAAAAGTTTAACCTGGATTATTTAACCATCTGAACACATACTCCAGAACAATCAGCATATAATTCAGTAGAAAGAAACATGGCAACACTTTCTAGTAAGTAGGCAGGCATTTAACTGGATGCATTTGCATTTGGCAAACATATTGGAAGTGTCAATGGGAAAATTACTGTTAAAAATAAAAATCTTGCGCATTGTAACTTTAAGCATGCGGATGAAAAACTTTGTGAATTTTGGAGACAGGACAATATTAATGGGTATTCTGTAATTACTATATATATTGAAAATTACAATCAAGCAGATTTTTTAGACATAAATGAGGAGTCTTAGAAATGGATTAATCAGCATACTCAAATTTGCAAATATTCACTTGATTTGAGAAAATGCAAAGATTGAAATTGCTATAAAGAATCATGTGCACCCGAAATTTGCGACCTTTTATCTAAAAACAATAGTTTTTTACCACCCATTGTACAAGGTCGTGATGGTCATTTCCTAAGTTTGGTCTATTCTTTAGAATATTTTGGAAATTTACCAGGATATGATGAACACTGTCCTAGTATTACCTTGGAATTATATAGCAATCTCAAATATTAAAAATGCTTCAAATATTTTCTGTCCAAAACCTTTTTAAAGCAACATGCGAAGCTTTTTTATCCGAAAAGTGCAGAAGTAGAGATTAAAAAACAAGATGCTATAGAAGATAATTATATAAAAGAAAGTGTATCTTCTAATATAATAAATGATGATTCACAAAAGCAGAAAAAAATATCACAAAATTGAGAAAAATGGCAAAACTTTGGGAACAAGACCATCTTACGTTTAAAATTAATGATTTTAAAAATTAGAACAATTTTAATATTTTTGAACAATTAATATAATATACTTTTTTATTAATAAAATATACTTTTTTTTTACTTTTCGAATATTGCTTAAACTTTTAATCATAAACTTTTAATAAATAATGCAGAAATTTAAATTCGCGCGATATGCCATCTTGCGAGAAAATCACGTGATTTATTAATTTCCTAAAATGGAATTAATGACAAGGGGGGAAGAAACCCGAAAATTAAAATGACATCATATTTGTCCCTCCCTTAACCACATTTCTGAATTAAGAATATCTACCTGTGAATCATGCAAGAACTTTTCTATGAGGTTCATGTTCCCTCACCTCTCTCCTATACCACAGGAAATCCTTTTGGTCCCTTTGCATAAGAGGAAGCATCTTTTTCCAGTTTATATACACTGTTCATTAGAAATGATCCTAAATAATAACCTCTTCTTAGAATATAAATGCTTGACTGGTTCAATAAATTACTTCTGTAATGTTAGATCATATGCATTTTATTCTGAAATTCTAGGTATATTCCTGGATTAACCAAATGATGTTAATCAATCAACTGTCTTATGACATCTAAATGATAATCTGATTCATAATGAAATTCTAAGACAGGTTATAGCTTAGTTGACAAATAGCAACCCATACCTTAACCTTATGTAAACATATTAACATCACGTAACAAATAAAATTTACTTAAGCATCAATAATTTCCAAGAGCAACCTATCTTTCTACTGATCTTATTATACTGTCTGTAAATACTTAAAACATTATAATTCTCAACTTTAGCTTTTCAGATGAAGTTTACAAATAAAAACTTCTATTATTCTAAATTAATAGCAGGATTCATTTGATAGAGTGATACATTATGCATTCCTATTGTTACATATTTTGAATGGATAAAATGTAATAGGACCTACATAGTGCAAATGATTGACAAATCTAACATATCTGATATTCTGACATGATCGACAAATAAGATATATTAGACAGATTTAACATATACTAGGGAATGGTAACTATTATACGTCTGAAGCATAATTTTGATAATTCGGAATTATTTCAGTTAATTAGGCTTATAAGTAAAAACCACGTGTTTATAAATGTTTTTTTGTATTAAATTTTTATTGACCTTAAATCATGTGATGCAAGATAATCTAAAATGAAAATAAATTAAATTAATCACACGTGCACATGTGATAATAGTAATACAAAATATAATTGGATATCAGTATATGCAGAACAGAATCACATTGCATGTAAATTAGCTAGTAATGAGTTGTCCTCCGCTATGCTTCAGACAATAACATATCAGACATATTTGACATATACAATATATTAGACATATTAGTTATATCTTTTTATATACTGTATTTATATAAATATATAGCTTTTTAGACTATATAAAAGGCAGGATTTGACAAGTTAGTTTTTCAGTAGTTTTTAAGAAACAAACAGACCTATCTTGTTACATTTTTGTTTAATACTTTGTTTCTTTATTTTCTTTTCTTTCTTTTGTCATATCTTTTATTCTCTTTATTTCTCTTTTCTATTTTATTAATAAACATTTTACTTGGAAATATAATTACTCAATACCTTCTGAATTATTAATCATAAAACCTTCATATAAATCTTTCTACTTGAAGTTAGTCGTAAAAAGCATACCTGTAAAGCATTAAGATTACTGTGCAATTAATAATTCTCATCTATAATCATTAATATTTTCTTATTTATTTACAGATGAAAAAAAATCACTTTTATGATATGTTAAATCAATAAAATTATATTTAGTATGGTAATTATCTTAATTAAGTATATACATAATACGTAATTATGGTAATTAATTACCAATTTTTAAAAAAAACATAATTGCGAAATTAATTATAGCTGGAATGTTTCATTGTCGGGAAATTCCAATTAAACATGTTAAAAACTATGTAAAAAAAATGTTTTAATTAAAGATGAAGATCTTTCATTCTAATTCTTTTTTGTTAAAAAAAAAACTGTAAAAATGCTTTAGGTAAGGCGTAGCAAATATGAAAAATTGGTTCTCAGACCTACCGATCTAATTTTATAAAACATCACAAATTTTATTTTATATATTTTATACTATAATAAAGATCGCCAATTATGTGCATATTTTTGTACCAATTAAAATTTATTTATTAATGTTAATACAGATTATGAATGCATGTCATTTCTTTATATTTTACATTTCTTTCTATTATTAGGATTATTAGGATTAATATTTCTCTTGCCCATTAGTCTTTTTTTTTTAGGTAATGAATAACATTCTTAACAATATGAGAGCTTTGCAATAGAAAGGAAGGAAACTCTAAAAAAATTTTTTTTTGCGTTAATGTTAAATCTGAACTTATTTTACAAAAAAATCATAATTAACTTAGAAAGTAAAATTTTAATTTATTTAGAGTTTCCTTCCTTTCTATTGCAAAGCTTCCATATGGCAATTGGTCATCTATTTGAACTATATCTTCTGACATATCACAAATACAATAAATTTGTAAGAAAATTTCAGCTTTGAAATATGATTTTTCAATTTCTGATCTATACATGTGCTTTGTATTTATTTATACCAATTTGAATAATTCAGCTATAGGATCAACTTTGCGTTCTGTTTTTTTTATTTTCTTGATCACAATCTACATTCTCATCATTTATAACATATTCGTCATTTTCCTCATTAGTTTCTTCTTCATTATCCATTGGTGATATTTTTCATTTTTTTGTAATTTTACTACTTTCTCCATTTACTTCTTCTGATTCTACTTCCTTATTATTTAATTTATTTTGTTCTGATATTTCTGTTAAATCTGAAATATCCTTAAATGTAACTCCACAACTATATTCTATAGAGTCAATAAAAGTCTGAAGTAATTGATATTGCTCATCTGATATTTTTCGACAGGCATATAAAACTCTGAACTTGTTACATTCGGTACATTTTATAGCTATTCTAACATTTTTTGCAAACTAAACAGTTAGACTAAAGTCCATGCCATTATCACCTTTTTTTCTGCTTTTTTTGGCATATTGCGTGATTTTCTATTTTGTAATGAAGGACAATACATCTCTGTTGTATCTGTGCTATATACTTCTGAAAATAACTTATAATAGTTATCAGGTCTAGGAATAGGATCAGATATTCTTTAAGTTCTTTAAAAATTTCTGGATCGCTTTTAATTAGTTTGCAGATTGTGCATTTAACTTTCCTACATTTTTTTATTTCAAAAAAATATTGTTATTTTTTACAACAATGATTCATAAACACTTGTAATTTTGGCTAAAATAGATAAAAATGTTTGTTATTAAACAGTTATGATTTGTATAACTAGCTAAATATATACTAACCTTATTTGCTACTTTTTTTTGTGATATATCATTTATTGTAATAGAATCATCTATTATATGAACTGACTCCCAAAAATTTTCCATTTCCAATTTAATTGCCAGTTTAAATATCTCAAAAGTTTTATCCTTAAGGCTTTGACATTCAAATATATTACTTAATAATTCCTTTGTAGGTTCTAAGCTTGCTAGAAATTCTTTTTCCAATAGATTATTTGTTTTTGCTCTTTCATGTATATCTTCTATACTATTACAACCATTCATTAAATTCTCTATTTCAGCACTCATTTCTTGATACATTAATTCAACACATTGCATTCCAAGATTCAAAATTAACATTATCTGTTCCACTGGATTTTTCCTGAAATGCCTAGGAGGAGTTCTAATGGCAACCAAATAATCTAAATCTAGCATTACAAACATTGCTATTAAAGTTAATTGTATACAAAGAAAAGTATTCCTATGGTTAGGCCTACCATCCCCTATAAGAAATCGAAATAAGGAAATGATACGTTTTTTTTAAGGTTTGTATACGTAATTAATGATTCTATATCA